CGGGCAGTGGTTGAGTCATGGCTGTTAGCCGCTATGATTGCGTCTTGAGTCTAGCGCTGTAATGAAGACGGACACACCGTCCTTCTCAGTAACGACTAGCGGTTCCCCGTACCCATTAACCTATGTGACGGCAAGTACTTTGTCGACGTTGATATCAAACATAATCAGACCGAAAATATCACTGGAGAATATCCAACCGTATACTAATAGACAAAGAGCCATCAGAAACCACGGAACTCTAAAGAAGTTAAATAAATCGTACAAGGAAACACAACACAACGCACAGGAGTCCATGGTTTCGTCAGAGGGCGAGATACTACTCGGTGGCCAAAGCCGAGGTAGTTCTTTGTTGCATAATAGCTGGCTGATAGTTTTCCGAAACGATGTCCATGCGTTACTGGTAGCTCAGCTGGCGTGCACCTGCTGTTTTTTTCTTTGCTTTTCTTATGTATTGCGGCACAGTAGTTGAGTCGTTTTCAACCTCTAGCTAAGGTGTATAGTGATGATTATGAGGAACGTATACACTTGCGTAGTTTGAGTTTCATGTGCCGTGGTCTATCTGTACTGAACGCATGCCACTGGCTTGATAAAGTTGCAAGTATACACGAAAGACACAGTCTATCATACGCTTAACTCTAACTGATGCGACAGTTGTGCACAGGTAGCTATCTGGAGGGGGAAACCAAGTACAATGGCGATAGTGGTAGATGATCAGAGCCTTATGCAACAATGCAAGGCGTTACATCGATCGCGATGAGAAACATAAAAAGATTCGTTTGTCCGGTCGAGTTCATCAGTTTTTGGTGAACAATGAGACATGACGAAGAGACATTACTGCATTCATCATCGACAAAAATCAGACTGCGCAAAGGCACACGCTACAAGCTTGTCGGTATGGCCGTCCTGGATGACCAGCAAGCTCTTTGTAAAAACACAGATACTGAGAAACAGTTAGTTAAGTGTCGGATACCATGAGATGGACTACGATTCCACCACCAGAGGTATCCAGCTAGATCAAATCAAGCAGGCGCATAGGTCTAGTGGAATGACGCCTGACATATATGTGTGCTACACAGTGCAGTTCGGGCCGGTCAAATTTATAATAATAATAATAATAATAATAATAATAATAATAATAATACGGGATGATAAACTCTGATCCACCAGAAGCATTTTACGCGGAGCACAGAGTTAGTCATTGACCAATGGGGATTATGAAAAAACTGACCAAGGGACGAGACCTCGGCAGAAAATGGTGTCGGTTGGTAGAGACGTCAAGTCAATGCAGTACACCAAAGGTGAAAAAGATCAAAACTCATTGGAATAGGAGACTAAGGAATACATAAAGAGCCGAAGTGAAAGCTTTGGCGATCTGAAGAAGAAATGTCCAAAAACGACCGATTTCAGTCAAATGAGTAGGATAAAAGGGTCATCAAATTGCCAGCATTTCGGAAAAAAACGGAAAAGGAATCAAAGGAAAACGGAAAAAGTTATCCTAAGGAAGAGCGTTCCAAGGAAACACCCGTAGGAAACTCACCTCCAACTGTTCTGCAAAACAAGTGGTGCGCTCCAATATGAAGTTGAGGTAGGAGACGGCCGCGTCGAAAGAGGGTTGGGAGTGGTAAATGAACCGATGAATTTTGTGCTCCACTACAGCACACGCTAGACTGTTGTTGCTTACGATGTTAGCGCGCGATTCGGTCAGCCTCCCTTGGAGATGAAAACGACAAGAGTAAAGGTGTGATTAATCACTGAGGAGAGCTGGAAAGAGGAAGACGCTTGCGGTAAAACAGAAGCGGGGTTTTTAAAAAGACCAGGATTCATCTTTTTAGCTGTGATAACGGTGCGGTCATTAATATTAAATAATCAAGGAGAAAAATGCCGAACAAGAAGCCTCTCAAAACAAATAGGGCGCGGTGAATATGACTGAGCGCGAAATTAAGAGTTGGGTGGAGATCAAGAATGTCTTCAGTAGTACGCCGGTACACAGAATCGACGCTTCGCTGCCACGCAATCACCACCGGTCGCACGTGGGCGAAGGATACTGTGAGAGATGCCCCGCCCCCATGCAGGGTCAAACCCGCGCCGTCAGATTACAGCACAAAGTTGTTACCTTCAGGCTACGGGTCGGGGTGAACAATAAGGCGGATAGTAGAGAACAGTTAGCAATAATTTTAGATGACCGGCAACTTCTGCTTGAACCCTGGATGTTGGAATGTCAACCGCGTAGCGGGTAATGCTTGTCATAGTAGTTGATGATTCACTGGAGGGGTCACCTTCAAGCATGCGTTATGTAGATGGATTGCGACGCGCAATCACAATTGGAACCTCGATTCACTCTGAGTTAGATCACAACCAATTCAGTTACGGGGATTGTGCCTGGCTGCATCTGTCTCAGATAGGGCCAAAGTGACCGGAATAGATGAGATTCACTTGAAAGTGAACAGCAGTCCAGAGTGAGAATGCATGTCGTAATCCATTCACAAAACGAGGATACACAACACCAACATAATATCATTTATGCATAGGGCCAACAAAAACCATGGAACGTACGACCTAGTCACAACAGTCATAAAATGGGAGATGGATAGAAAAGGGGTAGTTCGTCAGTATAATGACTCCAGCGTTAGACAATTAAATCGAAGCATAAATTCGTACAATTCTTTCAATGAGTGTTTGGATGGTAGGAACGCCATGTGTTCCGATGTTAAAGCACATAGTCGCTCGCTAGGCAATGGCGCACTTGTGTTTGAACTACGTGTGTTGTTCCGTTTTATGTGTGCAGTTATAAAAATCCGCCACACTCAATGGAACGGTGCATCTTTGGTTTACGGACAGATTTCGGTCCGCATTAGACTTGCTCAGGTCAGGGTAACACCCATTACGACTCCGGAAAAGCACTAGAGGGCCGTTTCTTCCTACTGGGATTCATCCGTAGTAAGTACGCATCCAGAACCCAGACGTTTCTCGCTCGCTACCAAACAATTTAAGTCACTGAGCCGTTGGTGATGGTGGAACGCAACAGTGATCATCAGCTGGGATGTAGTGCGGCTCAACCTCCATTAACACGCATGTTACTGTCTCACAGAGGATAGGGCTGGGCCTTTGAGACACGACTTTATTCGCTGAACCGCTAATGATTACATGGCTTTGTGCTCCAATTGTCTAGGCTGATTTCACTTTCTTCCATGCGCCTCTGAGTGATTGCCTCGGCACCATGTGACGTTGCTGAATAGTGTCCGGTCGGATGAAGCCACATGGTGAAATGAAGCATGAGTAACCGACCAAGTGACGTAATCAAACCGATAAGCTTTGCCAGAGGGAAGTTCCGGGATTGCTAACACCAGTGTTTGGAGACCTCATCTGAAAAGGTCCGGTTGTGGTGTCTTGTTGCCAAAAACTTTAACGATGGATTTGGGGATTGCGATTTTGTAGTTACTTCGACCTTTCCTCACCACAGTAAATTTTGCTCTTATGGTGATTTGGTACAATTCGTCATCCGAATCATGGCTGACACTTAGTAACCACTAGCGCTGACATCAGTGAGGATGTATGTGAAGAAAATGATCGAAAACTGAAGGATGAGGGTGCTAGTCGGCTGCTACCAGAGACTTAAACCGATCAGTGATTAGATATTGCATTGAAAGATGGTTCGATACCAGAAGACCACTATAGAGTATACCTAAATCCGCGTTTAGTGAACAAGATGGCAGCTCAGGTTGGAGGTAAATAAACACCATCTGCGCATGAAACAGCTTATACTAGTGGTCGCGTTAAATGACGCTCGGTGACAGTTCTGAGTTTGTCAAGCGTTTAAGAGCCACAATTAGCAGCGGGCAACAGTTGAGAAAGATCACGTCGATTGGTGGGAATATCTGCAATTGGCCATCACCAGCGTGTTGATCAATGATGCAGATAAATAGCCACGACTGCAAGGTTTGGATCGTGTTCGCAATGCGCAGTTGCCTCAGGAATGCAATGGAATGAGATTGGATTACACGGTGACAAGTGCTGGGTCTCAATCGAACCTAGCGGGCGATGATGAACGAAACGGAGAACAAACAACTAGAGGTACTAAGTACGAATCACTACATTTGGTAGCGCGATACATATTAACAGGTCGTCGCATGGTGAATAATCGTGATAGAAGCCCAACACTTGTACTATCTCTAGGTGGTAACATAATGTTTCAGGTTGAATTGTCATGGCAAAACATCAACCACACGGTTGTGGTAGAAAATATCACCGACATTTGCTTTCTGAATGTATAACCAGAAGTTAAATGTGATATTTGCGAGCAGACCCGAGTACGACAAATACAGTGGCCGAAGGGTATTCTTGATCGCGACGAAGACTATAAAGGTTGTTAACACAATTTACAGCTTTTGGTGATAAACGCGACGCGATCAAAAGTTTACGCAGCATCGAGACTATCCTGATTTAGAAGGATGGAATAGGGCACCAAGTTGTACACAAAATTCATGCTTGAAACAGTCCAGAGGGTTGAGATGTGCTGTGAGATGAGACCGGTGACACGGTACAAAAGGTACCACCTAAGAATCGAATGTAGCACAAACAGATGCAAAAACCCATGAAATTCGCACACTTAAGCAGGTAGCAAAGGGTATTGAAAGTGCTTGGTGTTAACCAGTGCGCAAAGAACAGATATGAAATGCATGACACGGTAGAAACCACTTACCTGGATCGAAATCAACGTGTGTACGGTACAAATACACAGTGATGATGTAACCGAGAACAGCATCACCGAGGAATTCCAATCTAAAATTGGAGGTATAGACAAGAGTGACTATGATGAGAAACAAGTTGTATGTGGTAAATTGGGGGTACGCGGACGGGATAAAATTGCTCGGGCGCCTAGATTGCTTAGTGCCGACGTAAATTGCTTAGTGCCGATCGATAAGAAGTAATAAGGGGATAGGTTGATGGAGATGTATCCCCAATTAGTCAGTGGCATGATGCAAAAGCGAATAAGTAAGTGAACGCACCACATGTGGCGTACTATGGATGCGTGTCGAACAGAAACGAAAACTACAGTATGTCTGTTGCAGTACACCGGTATATGATAGGGTTGCTAGACAATGTCATCGTCCATAATAACACTAGTACATCAGCCACTAGAACTTGTGCCTTGCAACTGCAATACGATAAAAACCTACGGAATGAATAATATTATGAGGGAGGGAAGAGAGACTTAATGTAAAGCGTAAATGTCCCAAGAAAACACATGATGAAGGCGCCTACAATCTGCCAACAACGTAGGGTCATAAACGCAAAGAGAAGGCGGATTTGGCGAGATAGCCTCCCTATGGCATCTACTGCCTCGTGTCATGATTGGCGCCTACCCAGAGCATAACACAGTACTAACAACACTTTATACTGACAGTCCGAGCAGATAACAACAAACGCACCATATACTGTGGAACCAAAAGCCAAGCGCAAGATGGACAGTGTCAACAACAATTCGAAAGGCGAAAAGGGACAAACAGTATCTAGTTGTGTAGTCGGTGACTGCATTTTGAGCTGCCAAGTCAACTTTTTCCTTCACCGCGCCTTGCGGCACTCTACATACGGTAAACCATACAAAGCCCTTCTAGGTGGGTGGCAATCGGGCATACTTAGTACGCAACTTAGTCTACGTCATTGGTTATACTAAGAAGTTAACCTGATTACCACCGCCTAGTACTCAATCGCGCATATTAACGCTGTAGATACGATGATGCTATTCGATACCAACAATGCTTCGTAAAAGGGCATCAGCAGTACGCCGGTACGCAGTATCAACGCTTCGCTGCCGCGCAAACACCACCAGTTGCTCGTGGGTTAAGGATACTTCGAGGGTGGCCCTGCCTCTACGCAGCTGGAACCCGCGCCGTCAGATTACAAAGCAAGATTGTTACTTTTAGGCTACCGGCCGGCAACAATACCATGTAAACAACGATGATCAAGAACTTGTAGGTGCCTCAAGTGCTCGCAGCGAGCTAGCAGTCGTGCTCCGTACGGCAGGACGGTCCTTCATGTGGCCTTGTACACATGGCTCTTCGGATCGAGGGAAACCCGGCTCTGACGCCAAAGATTTCGCAGGCTCAAGGAGGGCATTCCAGTTTTTGCAATAAGTGAACCAGATTCAGCCATCACGCACCCATCGTTGCAATGCAACCCCCAAGACAAATTAGCTGATCAACTACCTCCAGTGTCACGTTGGCAAGAATCAAGGGGTCAGTAAGTGGCTGATGGTCCTGTAACAACACTGCACTTTGAAAATGGAGCCGTTCGGGTAACTAGTGAGTATGATTGGTCGATTTAGAACTCAGATAGATGTTGCCCTGATCAATGTAAGTATACGCGGGAAAGAATAAGGTTCACAGCAAGATCAATGCTCTGTACTGCAGATGGCGTAGTGAGCTGTGTTGAACTACAGTTTTCAACATACTAGTATAAAAGGCAAAATGATATAAGCAGAGGCTTCGCTGCAGTGCAAACACTACCAGTCGGGCATGAGCTAAGGATATTGTGAGGGTCGTCTCGTCATCCACGCAGGCCTGAAAACGTGGCCTCGCATTACAAGGCAGGTTTGTGACCCCCCCCCCTTAAGGCTATGCGCCAAATACAACGCCGTTATACATCCGACGACTGATGGCGGTGATTGGAATGACATCAGTGGTGTGGTAGACTTAAGTGTGATGCTGGTTTAGTGGGCAGATAAACAGTCACACAGTTGAGTCGATGTCATCACGAATTAGCATGCGAGTACAATGAATGCCCAGGAGATAAATTGTGATAGGAAACGAAACCGAAAGATGGGGCGTTCGACTAGATTACACATGATGGCATGCCAATTACCATCACCAATAGCAGTACAGCTGTAATTTGTAAGAACTTATCGTTACTATGCAACCATAACTAGTCACCTAGTGACAAACAATAAAATAGATACCAGACGCCCTAAGCGAATATTCAAAAGCAAACCGCCTGAACCCTATGAATAACACATGAGAACAAAAGGGAGGCTATCGCACAAAGTAACATGGTATCAATGAAACTGCTGCGTGTCACTTAAAACAAACAACCTGGCGAAATTACAAAAAATGCGCCGTTGGTGTCGACTGTGAGCCGTGTCCTGTAATGTCTCTCTAGCCATTCATTGGATGGGGGTGGATCGTGTGTGGATTCTCAAGCATAAAAGGTGAGACGGATCAATAGTACCCAAGTTAAACGACAACGCGACTTCTCTTATTACAAACCAATTTTTTGCCTCTATTGAGCATTGCGTCATTCTGTAATCGGGAGAGGCAAGCGATGACACAGAATCTAGTCTGGTCTCGTAGCTAGACCAAAGAACTTAAGTAATTGTAAGTGTTGCACTAAGGAACCAACCAACCTGGTCAGCACTACCAAGTGCTCACTGGTACTACTGCGCACTATCGCTGCGGATACGCTGGTTCCATTCGATACGAGCAACAGCCCTCAATAATTCACGATGACTTGAATGCGCCTCGGATCTCCAGACGGAATGGACTCTCACAGAAGAGAAAGGTCCTCACAATGGCCATGCAAACGCGCACATTGCTGTTAACGCAGCTGCAAGGATTAGCAAGTTGATCTAATTATTCTAGTTCTTGATCGTCGAGGACCAATGAATTAGCTGGCGCTTAGTTGATTCTGGAACAGTTCAGTGCGCTTTGAAAATAAGAGGACCATGTCAAATGATGAGACCACTCCAGACATTGCAAAGCTGTTATGGGGAATGCAAGTGCCCACAAACTCGCGCATGCGATACCACGTAAAGCTCAGACCCGCGTTCATCCCAGTGCACATGATTTGACCAGTCTCCGCATGTACAAGAATTCACATTTTCCGGCTAGCAATAAATTCACATTTTCCGAACAGCCCCGGTTATTAAAAATATTCATGTTTCCGAAATGTTCCGCTTATATTACGCCAAGTCACTCGCTAACGCATCGTTTAATGGCTTGTATACCTTCAAGTTTCGGAAACGTTCGTTCATTCGTTCGGTGACACTAGGAGTTATTACTTTCAGGCCGTTATATAACACAAGGGATGACTATGCCGCTTGCAGATTGTCAAACAGCAAGGTTTTGTCGTTCTAAATGTATAGATTGACCAGTTTTCTCCTGTTTCGGACATATACATCTGTAACATGAGAATCCATGGGGCAAAACAAAAGAACGCTACATGTCGTAGGACAGAACTCCATAGATGGCCGAAAATACTAGTGACTCGATATCTTCGAGTAAAGGGTACCTAAAGTGTTTGTATGAGGCTGGACCTCACCGTAGTGCGACGGTTTGTGTGCCTCAACAATCCATTGAGCTACGCTGGGTGGTGCTTTCTTGCACCTTCAGAGCAACTGATACCAGATTGGTCAATGGCCAGACAAAATCAGTCTCCTGGTCCTCCAGGTTAGGGGTTGGAATGACGGTGGCTCTTTAATACTTAAAACGGACTCTTTGTAGCCCACCGCCAAACCCGCTGCTTTGCGGTCAGGTATTTAAACCAAAGGCTTTGGTTGGGAACCCTAATCGTTCTCCTGTCTAGACCTGGGCAACCTGAGCACTAATAAACTTTCCTCAAACAATTACCTGGTGATCTGGTCACCGCAGAGAATAATCAACGGTGTCTTATCTGCTGCATCGGGCAGGGTGGATAGGGGTTTGGATGCTATCGCTCAAGCATTCCCGTTTTCTTATTCCCATTTTTATGCTTTTCACACCTATCATTCCGTTCTAACATCATTTATATTCCCCCGTTTTCAACTCCGCATACCTTGGCCAACCCCCGATGCCTTGATAGCTGTTTATCTTCCAGTTTCCGCTCACATGCTAATGCGGAGCGTCATTCGCGCTATCGACAAGCCCATGTCTAAGCGAGCGGTCAAGCCCAGTTTATCGGCTTTCATTTGGAGCCCTCCATCCTTCCCCAGTGGCATGCCTCAATGTACGCACGTTGTTATACATAGATCAACAGGCATCATTTTCCAGAACATTAGAGACCCACTCCATCGATAACTGCTGCTTATTGGAGACCCCCCTGCAAGACTCGAGCTCTGTGCTCACTGCGATACCCTTCAGGTGACACCAACAGCACTTTCTCATTGCGCCTATCAGGTGACGATGCAGCTTCGAGCACCGGCCAAGCTGGTGTTGGTATTGCCCTGAGTCCCTGGGCTGAAACTGCACTCGTTGACTGGATTCCAATCAGTAGCCGGTTGTGTGCGATCCGAT